CTCTGACTTTTCAGTTCTACAGATTTACATGACCTGAGGATTTATTTTAGATTTGCATTGCCTGGTACTGGTTTGCATTTCTCTGTATAATAGGTTACACAGATGCCCCAGACCTGCCAGTCATGCTAGTGCGACCATAGTTACAGATATCCTATTTTAACTAATCAACAGAATGCTATTGCTATAATACTGTTTATATATTACATAGATGATTATCCAAATTTTATGATGGTAAGTTTTGAACTCACAACCTATCACTTGTAGGTATGACAACTTATCCACTTCACTAAGTTATTACATCTTGAATTTGTTATTAAGTTTGTATACTCTGTATTAAGAATGGTTTCTGTTTTTGCAAAAACTAATTTATATATATATTCAATTAGTATTATACAATTATCTTTATATATATTATTTTTTCTATTCTAAAACTATTGCCATATTGCTTATAAAAAATGAAAGATGCATAAAAGTAAAGTGGCTTGTTTTCAGGTATAATGCAATGCTATTCTTTCAGCTTTACAATCATCTGTTATAATAACTTGTAGTCCAATTTCAAATTCATGTCTGCCAAATGTTGTTGATAACATTTTATTTTTTAATATATTTAAAGCTTTTATTAAAGTATCTGTTTTTTCATATAATATAAGAATTGTTGCAAAAGGTAAACTACTAACAGAAGTGCTTGTAAAAAGAACTGTTAAAGTAGTGTTAAGAATATCAAGTTCTGCTGTTGTGTCCATATAAATTAATTTACCAGCTTAAGATAAAGTATGACATTGTTTTATAAGATTTGTTACAATTATAAGAATAAATAGTTGTCTAGAATTATCTTTTGTTGAAGCAATATATGGTTGTACTCAAGCATCTCCTTTTTTACTATTATTGAATTTAGCAACTTTATTTATTAAATGATTAAATATATCTTTTTTATTTTGAAGGCCTATGGTTTGAGCATGATATTTTTGATAAAAATAATAGAAATTATTTTTATATAAACAAATCAATCAATCTGCTAATATTTCCTTATTATTTTCAAATTGTAATTGAATTTGTTCAAAATATATATAATATGCACTACTAGAACTATACCCAATTTTGAAAAGCTCAAAAATTGCATTTTTTGTAATTTTAGATACTGAATAAAAGCTCATAACATGGCTTGATTTTAGAGAATGATTATGGTAGAACAATATTAAGATTATATATAAGTGAGATTCAGATTTAGTGCTCAATTGTATACTAAGTACTGTAGAAAAATTGGTATTTCATAATTATGTATTATTTATAGAATCTTTATTTTCTTTAATTTTACTATCAATATTTTTATTTTGAGATTCTTGCTTTAATTTCACAACATGGTTATGAATACAGTAAAACTGTTTTGAGAGAAGATAGTGAACATCTTTAATGGTTTTTTCTTGACTTTTATATATTGTTACTTTATGTAAATCAGTAAATTGTTCTAGCCATAATTTAACCTGCTCAATTATAGTAATATTAATACAGAATTTTGCTTTGAAGGGTTTATCATATGCATCTAAAAATTCATGTGCAGGTATTGTTTTAAATAAGTTTATTACATATTCATAGTTTTGAAATAAAGCACATAGTAAAACATTTAATGAATTAGTATTATTTTTTAAATTAGATTCTATAGTATGTATTGAAAGATAACTAAAATTAAAACAAAAGGCATAAAAGCTATTATTTATTATTTATTAATGACAAACAAAGTATCTTCAATTGAGTTATTATTATTATATAAAAATTTTTTTATTATATTTTTTTATATATTTACAAAAAAATTATTTAATCTTTTAATTAATAGTTAATGCTATTTATTATGTTTGAGGCTTGGAATATAAGAGTATTTCATTCTTTTTCTCTATCTCAAATGATTAATTTTTTATAATCTTATGGTTTTTTTCTTTATTCTATCATAAATTTGAAGCCATGTCCAGAAATCTTCACAAGTATTAACACAGCCTCTTTTATGACTTACCTATCTTAGTTTTATTACATTTCTCTTTATTTTCTTTTACTTACTTTTTTAGATTAGCATCTTTGATTATATTATTCAGATTATGTAGATCATAGAAATAAGTTACCAAACCAATCTATAAGTGGAATTAGATAAGAATAATTTAATTACTTTCTATTTTGAGATACTTATTTTCAATTGTGATACTTATTTAATTAATATATAAAACTAACAAGTAAAAGGCTTGTCAACAAAGTGACAGAGTGATCATTATTGCAAGATCAAAGGACTTAGATTATATGAAAATATATTGTTTAACCTTTTATGAAATAGTTGTAATTAGTTGATTGTTTGCTAGTTTTAAGCAGGTTTTTTATAATATAGCAGCCTAATTGCATATGATAATATTATAATTATTAGTTTATAGTAAGTTATTGTTATCAAGTAAGAAGTATAAGTCTTCTATGTAGGTGTAAGACATCTTTGTTCAATAAATGGTTATTTAAAGGTTTTGAAGATTGTTAGTAAATTATCTTTCTTTTTGCTATCATTTACCTTGTGTTAAGGCTGGCTCTATCCCTCTTATTCTCTCTCTAATATTATTTCTGTTCTTTTTTGTTCTTTTAGCAATTGCTTAAGTTTTTGGTTAATAAGCCCTATATTGGTAAGAAAAGGCTTTGCAGCTGTTTAGACAGTAAAAAGACCTCTTAGTTAGGCTCTGCAGCTGCTTTAGCAGTATAAAAACCTCTTAGTTAGGCTTCATAACTGCTTTAGCAGTGCAAAAACCTATTAGTTAGGCTCTATAACTGCTTTAGCAATGCAAGGACCTTATAATCAAGCTTCATAGCTGCATTGGCTGTACAAAAACCTTATAATTAAGCTACATGACTGCATTGGCAGTTCAAGAACCTGTGCAATACATATTTATAGTATTTGAAACACCTGATTCTCTTTTTTTGCTATAAAGGCTTATGATAGTTATAGACTTAAATATTTAAATATTATTATATATGTCTAGTATAGTAGGTTTAAGATTATATGTTTTCTTAATAGATTAAATGATACAGTAGTGTCTTGAGATAAAGGCCTGCATTGGGTCCTACAGTCTGGCCTAGCTTGCAAATTTTTGTAGGCTGGGCCAAGCCTAAAGCAAAATTTTATAATTGTAAGCTAGGTCAGACTAAAAAATTTGCAAAATTTTATAATTGCAGGTCTAAAATTTTGTTAAATTATATAAGAAATTTTTGCAGACTGGGCTGGGCCAGGCTAGATTAAAGAAAAAATTTAATATATGTGGGCTGAGCCAGGCTGGGCTGGCAAAAAAATATTAACTTTAAATGTGAGCCAGGTCAGACTAGAAAAAAAATTTTAACCCTAAATACAGGCCAGGCTGGGCCTTAAAAATAGGCAATTTGCAGGTCTTTACTTTAAGATAACAGATATATTTAGATTTTCTATACTGAAAGATCAGTGAAGCAAGTTTGTAGTTATACATTTTCTTAGTCTAATTATATGATATAGTAGGGTCTTGAGATAGTAAACCTATCCCTATATGTTTTTTTATCTAATTAGTAATAAAGATAAGTTTTTGATTAAGCAATAATAATTGTTGCTTTTATTATATAAATATATAAAGAATACAAAAAAAATTATAAATTAATTTTTATTTTGTATTGCTTATGCAAATAGATATTTTGGCCTTCATTTAAAGATATATTTGTATTTAGTTCTTTTCTTTTATGAAATAACCTTGTTATTTTTAAATTTGCCAAACTTGTATTACTTTAATAAAGTTTAATAATTGTATTATTTAATATATATGCAGGGGCCTGGAATCTACTAAAATTTGTAAGTGTTCTCAAGCATTGATTAAAGTATTACACAATTGAATATATAATACACCCATATTGCAATGATATTCAAATGATAAGTTATCAGTAAAAATCTTGTTTCTTAATATTTTTGATTAAACTTTAGTTAATATCTATAAAATACTAGTGATCAGAACATTATAAATTTTTACAATTTACTTTATTAACAATGCAAAATTATATTTAATAAATCATTCAACTTTGAAGATTTTATATTGAAATAGTATAGCAATACTTTGTTTATAAAAATAACAACTAAGTTTATTATGACTAGTTTCATTTGGACATACTGTATAGCTATGAAATAATGCATATGAGCATTATTTCAAAAATTGCTTTTTCTTAAAAATAATATATTTAGTTCAAAATAACATGCATGCACATCTTAAAATAACATGCAGCATTATTTCATAACTATATAGTATATATTATCAAAATGTTGATATTATCACAAGTTAAATGAATAAATAAAAGATAAATAATAGATAAATAACAAAAAAAATCTGCCATTATTCTACTCTATATTCACCAAATAATAGCAGTATAACAGTAGCATAATAGCAGAATAATAGTAAAATAACAGGAGGTTTGTTAATATGAGTAACATAATAATAACATAATAGCAAAATAATAGAACAGTTCTATTATTTTACTTTTAGTTACTAAGACTAAAAATAAAATAACAGAACTGTTCTATTATTTTGCTATTATGTTACTATTATATTACTTATATTGACCAATCTTCTGTTATTTTACTATTATTCTGCTATTATGCTGCTGTTATATTGTTATTATTTGGCAAATATAAGGTAGAATAATGGCAGATTTTTTTTCTGTTATTTACTTATTATTTACTCTTTATTTATTCATTTAATCTGTGTATATATAAGTAGTAAATATAATTTATTTTGTTTGAATAAATTAATCTCATATTAATAAAGTGTGAATTTGGTTAGTTAGATAGATCATGTTGAAATAAACATTCAACAAACCAAGCACAGATTTGAATATTGCACTTTGGGCCTTATAGTCAAATGACATGCTCTAAAATGTGTAACAGCCTGACAGATGTATAACAAGGGAGATCACATGTCAGATTAGATAACATCAAGGTGTATAAGAGCTTTGGGCTATTTAACTAGTATATGTCTAAAAGATCAGAGTGTTTAAATAGATAATCTCTTAGTAGATTATAGATATAGCAACTAGTATAGAACCTTTAGATGGATTACTTAAATAGATAACCAAAAGTTGTATGAGTGACTAGTTGTACATTTATCTTGTACAAGCTATACAATTAATGTATAATTAAAAATACACAATAAAGGTGATAGCTACCAATAAACATTAGCCTTAGCAAAAGCAAAAAAAAAAATAATTAAATTAAGATATTTGTAATAGTAATCATATTAGCATAACTGGTAGATTATAAGACATCTGTATAAATATGACATTACACAAAAAAATGCAAACTAGTATTAGGTAGTGCAAACTTTAAATAAGTTTTTATAATCATGTAAATTTATTAAAATTAGAAAACAAGAAGTTTATTTAAGAAAACCCAAGTAGAAAGTTAATACAAATCTTTAATAGTATTATTATAATAGCTAGTTTTATAAAATGAATACTAATGTTAAAATACCTAAATAGATAAAAATTTCTGAGTTAAAAGTTTTAGAAATACTATCAACTAGACTACTAGAATAAACTAGAGAAAAAGAATATTAGATTAATCTAATATACTAATAGACTAGTTGTAGTCCTATTAGACTAGTCTAAAGAATAGACAGAAGTATACTAAAATATTTCAGATATGGTTATAAAGTAAATGTTAAGGTTTAAGTAAATTCTATAAGAGCATAGTGGTTTAATAACTAATTTTAATTAT